ATGACCTGCGGAAACCCTGGGTAAACATTTTAAACACTGAGGCTTCGGATCAGAACCCGATCTTTACCTTTGTGGCCTCCAGCTGTGACTCCAGAGTTCCAGACTCTTCCACCATACAGGACCTGAAACCAACGAGAGAATGGATCAGAACCAACAGAACAGTTCTAAACTGGATCCACTTCAAACATCTACTGAGGTCCATGCAGGGTTACGGCTACAGCACACAGGACGAGTGTTAGCAGGCCGGAACACGGCGGCGGGTTCTGCCCAGAACTTCAGATCCAAAACTCAACTTCATGCTGTTCTGTAACCCGTTAGAACCGTCTGGATCTAGAGTTCTCCAGGCTCCCTGAAGGAGCAAAGATCTGAAAAACCTTCAGGAAGCCTGCAGAACCAGCGGTCCAGTCCGGTTCTACAGCATGAGGACTGGACCAGAAGGTCCGTGAGCAGGAACCCAAACTGAAGGAACAGGAACCAGGCTGGAGATCAGCTCTTCACTGTTTATAATGGTCCACAGTGGGAGTGGGAGGGTTAGTTAGCAGGAAGGTGCTGAGCAGCATAAAGGCCCAACATGGTGGTTTTAGACTGAACCCAGTGGGTCAGAACACAGTGAGGGAACCAGAACCAGAACCAGGCTGAAAGAGGTCAACCTTCCGGAAAGATCATCAGCAACTTGGTACTGATACACACAGATAACCCGACGGTACGCTATGCTATCAGAGAGGAGGAGGAGGAGGAGGAGGAAGAGGAGAGACATGAACACAGGCTCATCATCATCATCATCATCATCACACTTTAATAAAGAACAAGGAGATATTAACCCGTCCAGAAGATACGTCCTGATAAACGGCAACAAGGAAGCAGCCGAGGCAGCGGGAGAGAAGAGAGAGACACAGTTAACAACAGCACAACAGAACCGGGTCAGAACCACATGGTTCTGATCCGTCACTCATCATTTCTGATAACTGCTCAAAAGAAAACATCCCATTAAATAATAACAAGTGGATTTAAAAACTTGGAACCATTTTGATTCTTTTCTTTTTCATCATTTTAACTGAAATCATCGTCTAAACTATTCATCCACAAACTTTTTTTCCTTTCACTCAACTTTCCAGCTACGGTGAAGATGTTTGTGGATTCAAATCTTTTCTTATTGGTCTAATAAAATATTTTGTATTTCAATTTTTGTTTTTTACGAGCCAAAACACTTGGAATCATTTTTAAAAAATCTGTGAAAGTTTCCTTTCACAGTCCATTTATCACCATAAACTTTCCAGTGATACTCTAGTTGGTTGAGATGCGGTGAATCCAGCAGAGCAGGGATGGAACGGTTCAGAACGGTTCTGGGTCGGATCCAATTCAGCACCATTTGAATAGTTAACATTTAGGGTGAGAAGAATTTCAGCACCAGAACCTCGCTCAAACCCGTCCCAGCCTTTAAAAGCTCTGAATCAGTTATACTGGTGTTTGGTTTTCTAACAGCGGACCAGAACCACCCGGCCTACCTGGTCTCCTGCAGCCACTGGTGGAAAGCGTTGGCGTGCTGAGCGAACTCCTGTCGCAGCTTGTCGTTCTCCTCCTGCCTCCTTTGCTCTTTCTGCAGCTCCAGCTCTCGTTCCTGCAGCGCAAAGAAAGAAGAATCATCCAGATGCCGCCCCGGTTCCTGCTGAACGAACTGCAGAACGGTTCAGACCTTGATGATCTTCTGCAGGTTCCTCCAGGTCTCCTCCAGCGCCTCCATGGTGAACCAGGTGTAGGGGTTGGACACCACCTGGTAGCTCTTGATCTGCTGATCCAGCTCGGCCAGCTGGTTGAAGTCGGCCTGAGCGGAACTGAGCGAGGAGCGGAACGCCTCGTGGGCCTCACGCAGCGCCCGGATCTCCTCCAGAGAGTTGCATCTCACCGGGTCGGTCAGATCCTCCTCTGCGTTCTCAAACCAGCTGTTGAAGGCCGAGGCCTTCTTAGCGAAGGTCAGGAAGAGGTCCTCGACCTGAGGAGGAAGGAGCCAGAAGGTTAGCCGCACAGGAACACCTCTGGGTTTCAGGAAAGGTTCTCCTGACTGATCCGACCTTCCTGAAATGCTCCTGAGCTTCCAGAAGCTTCTTCTTGCGAGCAGCGGAGTTGGACAGCAGCTGGTTCCAGCGTTTGATCAGAGCGGCGTGCCGGGCCTCGATGGCTTTGGACTGCACGTGTTTGGCAGCCAGGAGCTGGTCCTTCAGAGCCGTGATGTTGGTGATCCCTTCCTGCTGGAAGGCCTGCAGACCAGCGTCAAAGGTCTCCTGCGGAGGAGCAGAGGGGGTCAGAACCACAGGTTCTGTTGGAGGTGATGGAGAGGAGGATCAGGAGGAGGACCCACCTGTTTGGTGAGCAGAGTCTGAACAGAGGAAAGGTCTCTGCCGTAGTCGTCCGTCTTCAGGCTGTTCTCCTTCTCACCTGAACACAGAAGAACGTTTAAAACCGGTTCCAGTAACCGTTCTGCAAACTGGGCTGGACCGGTTCAGCACAGCAGGTCATTCATCAGTTTAGTGGCAGATTCACCTCCTGGAACCAGAGGAGCTGCAGCTGACCTGAACTCAGACTCAGCTTTTTACATCACTTTCCAGAAAAAGGAAGCCATTTATAAAAAAACAACAACTTGTGTAGAAAACATACAGTCCCGTCTCTGACTAATTTGCGCGCACATATCGGAGGAGACTTTCAATTTAACTTACACAATAAGATAAACGTCATAAACATCCAATATGATTCCTGTTCTCACTGGTGAAGCACAACTTGGACCCGTCATTAATAGAAAGACGTTTTCTCACCAACGGGTGCATGGAACCAGGTGGGAGGGATTCACGTTAAAGGAAAAGTCCGATCACAATAAGAATTCAAACTTCTGAAAGTTCTTTAAATATGAAATTATTACGTTCTTTTCAATAAATGATCAGTGTTTTTAATTCAGAGTAATTTTCATTTGAATGTG